ATTCATCACAGAGTTGCCACCGGTGAGGCGAGCGCGAGACGGTGATGAGTCTCGCTGGAGTGCGCGATCCGATTCGTAATCGTCAGTACTACGAGGATCGCCATGGATTGTCACCGGTGCAGCCAGCGGTCAGTTTCGATTAATTTGGTTATTTTAACCCCTGTTCTTTTTAATGGCTGCTGCTTTTCGCCATGGTATGCATCCGTGGCACTCACGTATATGGGACGAGGCACGTCTCTGTGTCCTTTCCATCAAAAAGGCTAAGGGGTTAGAGCGCAGACGAACACAGTCGCCGACGGCTTCTCTCACTCACGAAGAATATATAGTCTTCACTAAGCCTGAACCTTGAGTAGAGGAAGGGATACGGAAGTGCTGATGCGTAGTCCCCCCCCCCCCATCGCCAACTACGTTAGCACCTTGAAGGTTATCATAGGAATATTGAGCTAGGCAGTAGCTATTCGCGATCAATACTCATATCTGAGCTTCACTGTCCTCAGGCTAGTAGGTTAACCACCGCAGAAAGAGTCACTTTTGGTCACTTCTCCCTCCTCTTCCCCCCCCCCTCTAGCCTCATGGATTTTATGCCATAGCTTTACAGTATCAACATTTTCAACTTTGTGGCATGAAAGTCCCTAGTGTGAGAGGGTGGAAGATGATGGGAACGTTTAGAACAGCTGAGCGATAAGTATAAGGTGCTGGTTCGAGTTTTGCCCAGGTCATGTCTTGTGCCCGCGGTCTGGAGTTTTTGTGTTGATTTCATTTTCTTATTTAATTGGCTACCTTTCTGCCGTTATTGATTACAGCTTGAGGCAAAAAAGTGCTTGCCAAGGTCGAGCAAGCCGTTATCCGTCACGGTTTTCATTACCCGTTCCCTTTTTCGGAATGCTGTAATGAAGCGATTCTATCGATTCATCCAGAATTGCTAGCGAATTTAACGTTTTTATTTATTGATCGTTTTTGGGAGTCTGTGGAAAAGCGCTCGAGAATGATTCCATTCATTTTATTGCTTTGAAAAATTTGAATATCAAATTTTACGTGGGAATGCGCTGTGGCGTAGCCATTACTGGCGCTTCGACATGTTGCCTGGAACTGACGATTCTTCATGACGATCGTGTGATTTCACCCATTTCCGCCTTTCTTTTCATTCTTGAATGTTGACATTTGACCCGAACCAAAGTAATAGTGATTAATAGTTGCTCTTTCTGCTGGTTCTAAATTCTATTGTTTTTCCTCAAATCTGGTCTCCAGGAGTAATTCAGTGCCATGATTATGGTTCTGACACTTTTTGGCACGCGCGCCAATGTGGGAATATCATTCGTGACCGGGACGCCTAAAGACGCATTCAGCGTCTATTTGATGTTCAGACGCCTTCTTTGGACATGATAGTCCTGTCCATAAGGGAAATGTCACCCGACGGAGCCACGGCTCCACCCACTTTCCACGGCCACACCCAACTTTCATTTCTGAAGGTATCCTGGTGGTGCGGTTGTTTTCGCCACCAACTCTCCGTTCCGAATGAGGTGATAAGGAGAAAGAGCTGGCACCAACAAGTGAGAACTCGTCCGACCACGTTCCTCTCATTGTGCAAGTGCAAGAGCGGCTCAGCATGGGGTTCTATATGGGGCTTTTCGGGCGGGTTTTTAATGCTTTTCTTCACTTTGCGTAATTCACCATCTTGTCTTATCTATTTTAGCCGCAGAACTCCCCATTTTCCAACCTGGAGCGTGCCTTCAACAGCCTTTATGAACGTGGTTTCAGATGAGATTTTTGAGATTCTTTGGTCTCCCTAGTGCAGCGATGTCGTCCGTTTTTCTTCATGGGAGGCCCATAATTTTTGTTCCATCCAAAAAGACATTACTCATCTTATTCCAAACAGTCAGGGAACTGTTGTTTGAAATTTCTCTCGTAGCGTGAGTCTAGACCGAAAAGCATTTGCCCCACTTCAAGCGGAAGAAGGAAAGGAAGGAAGAGGCATGTGATTGCGTGCATGCAAAAAGTGCAGCTGCTCTGATAAAAAGCTGAGTCAGCAAACCCTGCGATTGACAAGTGCCCTGAGAGGGTTGATAAATTAATGCAAGTGAGTTTTTCGTTCTACGTCTTTTCCATAAATCCGTTTCGGTTTTGTTTACTTGAACAAGGCTCGCTAGGCTTCCTTGGGTTGGCAAATGGGATACGGGATATGAACTTAATAAGTCGGGCAGGAGTGGGATACGATTGAGTAGAGAAGGAAAACACCCCCTCCCCGGACCCCCTCCCGATACGTTCCCAGTACGACCTTTTCAATTTATCGCGAAAAAACTAACAAACCCTATAAAAATGGCATGACATCGCCGGTAAAAATGACAACCCCAGTGACTAATTACTGACTGCCCCGATGTGTATTTGACAACTGCAATGGGCACTGATGGCACATAACCAGAACGAATAGTGCGTGTAATAATTACATCAAAGCTCCACACGTCGTGCTGGATCTGAGTTCACTTTTTTCAAAATTGCACCCCCCCCCCCCCATTTTTTTGCCGTTAAATGTCTTTCTAAGGTAGAATTATTGAGATTCAATTTTCAGTTATCATTAAATTTCTTATTTTCGCAGTAGTCATTGTAATCAGGACACGTCCTATCGCTCGGGATGTTTTCGGAGAATGCGACCCCCTCCCTTCCCCATCCTCCAACTTTTACCAGCATTCTGTCACATTTTCCGAAACTTCTTAAAAATATTGCAGTTTTTCCACAAATTTGGGGGAAGGCGGGGTGGGGTGGGGGAGTATATATAGCACCAGTGAAGCGGGAGAAAAAAGTCAAAAAAGTTTCTCACAAGGCGGCAAATTTCTGTCGGAAGCAGAACGCGACCTCCCCCTCTCAATGACGAGCAGTTACGACCCCCTCACCATCAGAACTCTTCCAACGATGTGAGTAGCGACTGTGAAACAGGAGAAATCAGCTATCAAAAATTGTTTTCAGATCGAATACGACCCCACCATCTCTCCGTCCAGCGACCAAATATGATCCTCGCTGGAGATTCCCCTATGCAGAACGTGCCCTGGGCTGAGGAAAGTCTTCTGCGATTATCTAGTAAGGAACGTGAGAGAAGAATGAAAACCAATGTGAGTTGAAAGAGGTCGTTTCTGAGGCTGGGTTAAAGACATGCCACACGAGGGGCCTTCTTGGTAGTTCTTCCTGCAAACAAAAGACGTATCACCTTGCAGCTCAAAAATACGTGGGGAAAACACTTCGCGATGGAACCACGGCTCTGCCCATTGGCCACGGCACGCCTTCGAGATTTCATTTCTATCTTCTGTGATGGTGCGGTTGTTTCGCTGACTCTCCGTTCTGAATAAATGATAAAAAGTGGCTCGGAAGTGTCAGGTAATAGGAACAGAGAGCTGGCACCAGCAAGTGAGAACTCGTCCGACTACGTCCTACCATAGCCTTATGTACGTACAGCATGCGGTTCTACATGGACATTTCGGGCAGATTTTTGTTTTCTTTTCTTCACTCTTGTGTTACTTACCGACTTGCCATCACTACTTGAACCTCACAAATCATATTTTGAACGCGTGCCGTCCTTTGAGAGGTTCATGTTCCAGTTAGCTTGTTGAAGTCACCATGGGCTCTATGAACTCATCAGGCTAATCCCGCTTACACACTGGGGCGGCTTCTGAAGTCGTCTTGTTATAAATGATTCACAGATGTTCGAATGGCTCAACAGCTAGCCTCCTTGAGACGGAAGATTTTAATAAAGTGCAGAATTTTAAAATAGTCGGGAATGGCTCTTCCATGTTCACGATAGATTTCATGCCATCTCGTTTTTCTAAAAATTGCCTTGGCTTGCCGTTCTCCTGCATGAATTAAAGCCAAGTACAGCCTGTTTGGCTCATTTTCTAATGTGATACGAAGCAACCAGGCTGGCTTCCCAAGGCTGTCACCAAAAACGCGTTTGTTTTTTCCTTCTCACAATTTCGTATCCAACACTAATTCAATATAGGTACGCGTTTTGGTGCAGAACGCCCTAGACATTTAGTAGCAAGGCGCTGTTTGCTCCGGCAGTGGCCGTTCTACAGCGATACCAAGCACCAACATGTCTATTCGTCTGTGCCCTCTCAGCGAGCTAGTGACGTTTTGTAACATGACTAGGTCAACGATACAACATGTGACCCCCTTAAACCGCATGAGACAGCTTTGTTGCTCGGAATATGGTGGGGCTAAATTCGCTGGACTTTTAGCCCATCTAAAGCACACGGCGCCGAAATTCAAGTAGTGGGCACAGAGTTGAAACCCATCATGGGGTCCATATTTAGTCTGTGGGGTGGGGAGAGATCGTTCTCTGCTTCAGTAGGGTTTTTGAGTTTCCGCGGTTGCCTCGCGCTACGTCTCACCCGCTCCCCTTCCCCATCGCCCTAGTTGGCGTTGCGTTAAAGCAACTGTTCCTTGTTCCCCAAACCAGGAAGGGAAGGGCTTTGATGTGAGTGAACCAGTTCCCATGGGTTTTTCGAAAGAGTCGTTGGGGATCTCCAGCGAGGGTAATGCCTGGTCGCCGAAAAGGAGGGACCGTTTTCCGCCGGGAATTCTTTTCTGATTGTTGAGTTCACCCGCCTGCACGCACAATATTCTCTTCTGCCCCTCTGATCCCTAGTTGGCAGAACCACTACTTCTGATTGACTGAATCGGTCGCACCTACCCCCCTCCCCTCTCCTCCGCCCTCCCCGTCGATGGCTTCCTGGGAAAGACTGCTAAAATAACCGACTGGTCGTGGAGGGGGGAGCGGCAGTTTGGTTAGGATGGAGAATGGGGAGGATCGCATCAGGAGGAAACTTTAGAGGGGGATGTTGTCGTGTACCCCGCACACACCCGCAGCTTGCTGAAGTCTTTGATAGTAATTAGCGACCACTCGCGACTTTCACAGGGATTCCCACGAAAAAATGAATGTTTTTTGCTTCCTGAAATTGATTTTCAATACCCGGTGGTCAACCAGTGAAGCATATTTCCCAGGGAATAATTTAATGAGCTTCGGACGTCGTATTTGTCACATTCAGGTCTTAGATGCCAACAATCCTCTTGTTACCTACGAATGAAGCTTGTTGTCTATCTTTAAATTCCCCCCTCTACTAGTATCCATTTTGGCTTTTATCAAATCCTGCAGTCCAGCAGAGAATGACGTCCTGACCACCTTTTGTTGTCCTTTTTAGCCTTTTTTAGACTGAACTATAAGTGTGGGCAGGTGATTATGTGTGTGCTGCCAGCTTTTTACGAGTGAATGAGCATGAAAGAAAGTGCAGTCGAGTTTTACACGCTCGATATATTGTGTTCCGGTGCGTAATGGCTCTTATGGATCGATTTTAGGTGTACCTATGAACTTGTCCCGTTAGAATAATAAATAGGCATATGTAGCGCGGAAATTCCATCTTCCCCCTCCCTCACGTCTAAAAAAACTTCATCCTGTTGTGAGATTATCCCCTCATGCGATAATCTGTGCGCTTAGTGCCGAGAGTTGCTTAGCGATAGTGTTCATGCAGTAGTTCGCATAGTTTTACGCTTCATTGCCTTGTGCTGCGAGAAGCGATGTTCTCTCCGTAATTGCATGTTTAACCCGCTCCAAAAGCCTGGCCCGAGTTTAGCCCTTAGCGTGTTTATGCTCAAAATTGATTCCTTTTCCAGCATTTGCACCTACATGTCCATAAAGTAAGTGTAAATAAGTTATGCAAATAAACTGAAATTTCTTCAGATAAGCGCTTCGGCGGCAGCAAACGCAGCAAATCACTCGACCAGTGTTTTGGTGCCGTTGAAGACGTTAAATTTCGCCAACAAAGGGAGCCTATCCAATCCAGCTCCCGCAGAAGTGCCACCACCAGTCCTCCCGACAACCTCATCACCGACCAGAATCACCGTCACTCCTGCTCCGGCCGCTATCGCCGGAAGTGGCGCCGGAGGTGAGTTGTTTGAGTTTACTGAACTATGATTTCGAAACGATGACGTTATCTAGACTGGGAGCGCTTAAAAAGACTGAGCGCGCTTGAAAGTGCTGATTATAGATCTGGGCCGTCTTATGAAAACAACATGGGATGATATCAAGGAGCTGTTAGGGTTTGTGCCAACGTGCCTCAACGGTGGCACCCGAACACCTGGCACGACTTGCCGCTGTCCGAAATTGTTCGAGGTGAGTTTCAGTTTCATTCTCATTTGATCCTTCAAGCTAAGATATTAATTTTTTGCACTATTTACCCTTTGAGACCAGAGTATTCGGAATTTGAGCTAGCTTTCCACCAAAATTTTCTCCCAGAAAGTCCATTTGGTCAGCGCGTTGGGAGCAGTTCGGCGACGAGAGGGGAGGGGGGGCTTTGGCATTTTTGCTGCTTCCCGTTGTCATGTTCATTGATTTTCAAGAGTTGATAGGTATTATTTACAAGTGTTGACAAGTGCTTACAAAATTCGACTAATTTTACTTCATGGCTTCACGAAATTTCACAAATCTCTGCTTGGTGGCTCAACAATGACAATGGGAAGAAGCGATAGTTCAAATGACCCCTCGAATGCGCTTTAGCAGCGGGATCCTGACGCGGGCGCCATATGTGTGATTGCACAACGTATCCTGTTGGTTTCCCTTTAGCGTTAGCTGTTTTTGCACCGTCATATACAGTTTTGTTCGCTGCGGATGAAGAGGCGTGTCAGGTGGAATGGGTTTGGCCCGGCGCCTGCCAGTTGTTGAAGGAGCAAGCGACAAAAACATCATATTGTTCGTATCAATCGTTTCCCAGCAACTTCTGCCTGCCTACTTCAGCAGCTGTGAGAACGGATTTGGCGCTGCTCCAAAACTCCTGCTTGACACGCCCATTCATTTCCAGCGAACAAGACTAAACAGCAATAGAGCAGCAAGTCCATCGAAGGCGAAGTTTGACCTCATGAACGCGAATCTCATTTTGGTTCGGCGCAAAGACGTGTGGTGCCTGTGCTATGAGCCCCGGCGCCGAAAACGGCGCAGGGCGTCGGGGTCTGTAGCCTTATTGCCTCAAACTACTCTCACAAACAAGCTTTTTTATTAACTCTACCCCGTAGTAAGAATTTGAGTAAAATCCAGCCTAAGTTTCAAATAGAGGGATCGTCAAAATTTTTAAGGGTGCTTTATGCGACAAAAAAATCTGTCTGAATGGTGGAAAATTGGAAAGGGCAAAGTATGGGCCTGTTTCTTGGGATTGCAAGTAAGTTAATTTGATAGCATGATTTATTCATTTTAATTTTCACCTTTCATCTGATCTTTTTTATTCGTTTCAATTACTGTAGGTGGTAGTGGTAATTAGTGTTGCCAGTGCAATAAGCGTTGTTTGACTTGGAGGGGCATTTTGCACTTTCGCTTGTTCATTTCCTCGCGTATTTTTGAGCTCTGAAAGTATTAGGTTGGCGGGAAAGTTCTGTCACATTTTTTCAAACTAGGCTTTCTTTTTATAGAGAGGCGTACAAGATCAAAATTATACAGCAATGTCATTGCGGAATCCCTGCCAGTTTTCGAGCACTTCGTGGATGCCATCGCTTCACAATGGAGGCTGGCACGACGCAATGTTGGACATCATCTCAATGTTGACTTGGGCTCGAGTCGTGGAGGTTTTCTCGGCCATATAACGGTTATGTCCGAGAGGTAACTAGCAGTTAGAATGAGCAATGTCTGGGGTACACCGGTGCAGGGGGTGAGCCATCCAGCTCTTTTGCATGAGATGGACGATTCGCCTCAGCTCTCGTAGCTGCTTTGCATACGGATCAACCAAGGACGCAGCTTCTTCGTCCAGCAGTTTACCGACCCACAGCTCCCTCAGGCTAAGTTCACAGGTATACCCAAACCTCACTTCGTCATTCAAACTGTAGGCTGCGGCTCTGAAGCTTTAGCGTCGTGGAAGGTTGTCTAATAATCGTAGACATCGTCCTTATGCAGCTCCATTATTTCGGCATCAACAGCTGTCATGCTGGCGCCAGGGCGGTAGAAGAAAGAGTTTGAGGAAGCGCTTGGAGGGGTCGGTGCCAAAGGTAGCGGATAACATTCTTGTTCATATTGCACAATAAGGAGAAGCAGGAGTCAAGCCAGTGATACCAATAGAAAGACCATTCTTTGATGTATAAGTGCTCACATTACCGGTTAACGCTCTTCAGGTAATTAGCAAATATTTTGGGTTCAAAAATATATGACAGAACTTTCCCGCCAACCTAATAGTACATCCTCCATGCTTGCGTACAGGACTACGATGTCCAAACAAGGCGTCTGCGCATCGAATGAACGCGAGGATGCCTTTCAAGGAGGATGGCATTGGGCTAGGTGTAGATCAACATTATGTCATGAGGCCAGCTAGTTAGTATTTCATAGCTAGTTGACTCTGCGTGCTGCAACCCTGGCATTGAGAGCGCTTTTACTATTCTTATTGTAGTTATAATGCAAGAGCATTTGAAGAAGAATTAGTCACCACCGGCCGCCCTTTATATTTTCTACTTGATTTTTTTCTTTTTTTTGCTTTTTTCTTTACATTTGGGTATGTTCAGCATATAAATTGATCATTTCAGATGTCCTACTCCACAGTATATAGAGGGTACACACTGTGAGACTGTACGATGTGCGAATAATGCACCGTTACGTACAGAAACGAACGGTAGTTGGTGGTGTGATTGTTCGGGTAGTACTTTTTATACGGGACGTTTTTGTGAGGTCAGTTTTAGGATGGTTTTATTATTTTTTGCAGTTTCTCTGGTATGATTCACAAAATGTATCAAGTAGCACCTGAAGGAAAGTCCGTTAGGGGCAATCGGAGAATTCCTAGTGCAGAACTGCGGATGAAGTGATGACGACTTTAGCCCACGCGTGAGGTGGGAGGAGGGGAAGGAGCTCTAGTGTGAGTGATGCGGTTTCTTGATGCGGAACGTATTGCATTACGGTAATCTCATTTTTCAAAAAGTCCTTCAAATGCCCCCTTTTCCTTCCTCTCCAGCCTGCAGACTTGTTCCGGCATCTGAAATTGTACTTCAGTGGGGTTATTGTGGCCCCGTTATCGCTCCTATGAGCTACTTTGCAGCTGCAGTCCCTTGCATATAAATCAGCAAATTTGGTGGAAAAACGGAATACCAAACGTGGAAATTAAGAGAGTAACAAGCAGGCCACTTTCGGCCCTCAAAAAGACCACTCCAACAGAAATACCGTGAGGGGCGCAGTTTGACTGAGGTGAGGAGGGGGGGGGGGGTGGCGGCAGTTAATGGTACTTAGTGAAGCCTGTGCAAGCCATCTGTAAGTTCTGGTATAAAAAACCTCACTTGTGCCATCCGCTTCACATTAGTTTACAGGTCTCACCGAAATGAGACTTGTTAATTAACGTGAAATAGCAAAAGAAAGGGAATGAGAGCGCAAACTGGCCCTCCCAAGCCGAACAGCCAAAGTTGTCGGCTAAAGAATCAGTTGTTGATTCTCGCAAATTGACAACGGTTAGTGGGAGCGGACTGGCACAGCGCCAAAACGTACGTACGCGGCAACGCCTCCACATGACGATTCTTTTATGTACACTAGGACCACGGACTGGGGGAGTTCGGGGAGCCCACAGTGCTCTCTTCTTGACCTCTTCTGGTTAGCCGTCCTTGAACACCCACATATCACTGAATCTGAGATGCTATTTACCTTACGGTACTATGTTTCAGGAATTTTCCGCACCGTATGCAATATTTGCGGTACCATTAGCGTGCTTGCTGCTGTTCGCATTGTGTATAGCAGTCTGTCAAATGGATTTATTCGCACGCGACGTCCGACATCAGTCCATTTTCGCATCATCGGTGGAAACTGGTCAAGCGCAACTGCACCCCAGCACAGCCGGATACTGGCGCGTTCGTCGAACGCCGGCTGGAGCTCAGCCCAGACCTCGCACTACTCAGCCATCGTCTCAGCGAGCAGCTGTCACTCAGGTGAATCTTACATCTTTTCCGGTTCTGGTAAAAGCCAATTTTGGCGCTGATGTAGCACGGATACCTGCTGAGGTGCAGGGTACATTGCTTATTAAGGGGTAGATGAAGTGTCATTGACACTAACATGTCATTTCCTGTATTGAGACTTCGTTAACAAAGCTAACAGGTTTCCTCGTCTCTAACGCGTTGTAACCCATCGTTTTATTTACTTGTTATTAAATACATGAAATCAGCTATGTGGCGGTCTATCTTGATTCGCCGGATTTGTTGGCCTCGCCAACGGGGCATTAGAGAATCGTAAATTTTTTTTTTGGGGCGCCCCCCGCGTAAGGCGGCGTAGCCAAGCGACGGTTGCGCGAAAAGAGATGTGCCACCTAGTCATTCTAATTTGAATATTAAAGGGACAGAAAGGATGCTATCGAAGCGCGCTATTCGTCATCGGTTGTGACTTGAATTCTCAATTGCTTTCATATTTCTAGGCACAAGTGGCCGAAAAAACAAATGAAATATGTGCTAAAATATATAAAAATATACAAACTTCCTGCTCAATCGAGAAACTGACGCATGGTTTGAATTTCCCGCGCTCATCACCAGACGGTGCCTCGTGCGCGACGGCGCGACAAATTACGATTGTCTTTTCCGTCTCCTGACCTACGAAAGACTCCCTTCGCCGTAACGAGTTTGTGTTGCCGTTGAAATTATTGACGGATCCAAGCCCAACGTACGCGGTAGCAACAATCTGGCATTGCGCGCGTGGTGTCGTGACTTGTTAAGCTCAAGAGGTTGATCGCAAGCATTTTTACAACAAGTTCAAGGCGGAGCTTGCATGATAGACAGTATAGGATATTTTCTGTCCTTAACATACGGATCTGTAAACAGCGAGACACAACTCGTCCGAGGTCACGTGGGTCCTCGCCGACGCCCGCAATACGGCATATTCGATGTCTTTGCCATACCCAGAATAGGCCCCAGTCCTCTCCCGCTTTCCTTAACACCTTGAAGAACAGCTCCGCGATAAAAGTGTCAAGGATAATTGCTGACATTCAATTTGAACAGTCTGAAAAAGTAATTTTCCTCAATGAAGGAAAAAAGCAACAAGAGCCCTCAAGAACACCACAAACAAAATTGCTCCCTTACAGTTACACCGCCCTGCGGTCCTGGGCAACCCCTGGCTCACAAAATCACTTATGACATTCGCCCAGTAGTGGACAATCCATTTCACCAAAATAACAACTATGAAAAACAACAATGACACGAACGAAAAACACTGAAAAAAAGGAAAAATTCAAAAACCTGGCGTCCAAATTTGGGGTTACGTGCAGTGTGCAGCTTTTGGTGCATGTCGAGCTTTTGCACCACAGAAATTGCATCATTCGTGATTTTCACCTTACGAATGGTTTCACTGACTTATGTGCTCCAGTGAACAAAATATGAATGAAGTAGATATTAATTTTATTATTATGCATCCGCGATTAAGTCCACGCCGTCCCACACAAAGAACAACTGGCGCGCTCTCCTCAGATGGCAGTTAACAAGCGGGGCTCCAATTGAGCGGCGTTAGAACTAGAATTTTGAGCGGTTATAGCTCGCTGCTCGCTCACTGTGGAGTCGCTAGAGTGAACCAGTATCTAGCTTGGGGGCTGACTACGCAAGAGGAGAATGTACCATACGAGAAATACTGCAGCGCGGGACTGTCTTTAACAGGCAGGGGATCCATGCTACATCTCGCACCAATTTAATTGTTTATTTGTTTCATGCTTGTTGGGAATTGCTTATTGTTTCAGCAACTTCTCATAACTGAAGACAGAGGATTATGCCGTCGTAGTGCGGCATATCCGCAAGGTATCGTCGCACCGTATGTGATTCGATTGGACACTATACCTCACTTTAATCCACATATGATAGGTACTCGCCTTTTTATTATTTATTTTCTTTTCAATATGACTTATTTGATTTTCAACAAGTTTTTTTGGCGCAGTTCGGCCAATCACTGCCGTTGTCTTCTTTGGGGACCTGTAGAACCGGGCAGTAGCAAGAGATTCGCTCATACTTGACAAGAGAGAGACTAAAAATCTCACCAAGATGTGACGTGCAATTTGAGAGGAACTAGTGAATGTGCAAAATGCCCCTGCCTAGCGGAAAAGCGTCTTTGTTATATCTGCGAGTTCACAATCACAGGTTTTGTACTACAGTTGTGTCATTCAGGTGGAGTCGAACCAATACCGATAGCGAAACCAATGGATCCACCACCCTCTTATGAACAAGCTGTATCAGCTCCTCCAGCTCCTCAACCGCCAAGCTACACGGAATCAGCAAATGAGGTGAGTAAGAATGTGAAGCAAGCAAGCGAATGATGTGACTTCTTGATAAATTCAATTGATAATAAGATAACCAACCTTCGAATAAGTAAATTAAAAATGGAATATGAAACAATTACAATGAATTTCTTGTTTCTACTTTATTAATTTGTAAATCCATCCCGGTGTTTATGTTTTTTGATTGTTTGGGTGCAGAAGTGTGATAACCGTGCGTGCGGTCGCGAGACAATCGTTGTATTCCATGCTCGGACTACTTGTACCTGGAGTATTACTCGTTGATATTTTCCGTAGTTTTGCGCCGCCAAAAAACTAAAGAAACTAAAGGCGGGAGGGGGGGGCGTGAAAGTGTATAAAACGCGTGTGAAAATGGAAAATCAGCAGTTAGAGGAGATGTTCCGTTGGCTCTTCTATCCGGCAGCCAAATATGCCCTCTCCCTCTGTATTTTACAGGATGAAAGGAGTGCCAGGAGTGCCTTGAACCGCGGAACGCTCTCATAATTGAAGTGATTAGAGTGGTAATGTTGACGATTCGTATTTCTATTCGTAGTACAATTCACAGGTGAAGGATGGTGGACAATACAATCGCAATATGCCACGTCGCCGCGCGCGGCGTGTCGTGCGACAACTCGCGGCAAGTGCTCAGTGAATATCACTTAGTCGTGAGGAGACAATACTCCATGGCAGGTGATATCGAACTTTCCCCCTTCCTTCTAACGCTCAGATCCAAATTGCCAGGCAGAGCAACTCGTCTTCGAGTGCAGCGTCGCTTGACACACCCGCTGGCGCGGCACATTACCACTGTCTTGTCACCTACCCAATTTACATATTACATTATAATTTACCAG